CGAGGGGGAAAGTGTCTCCGGGGCACATTTGACACCCCGCAGAGAAGAACACCCTGTATGCTCAAGAGCCTGCGTCGGACAGACGGCAGCTCAGTGCACCGACAAAGAGCAAAGGCAACGCGAGGGCAGGATCACGCTCTCCTGGTCAGCCGTCCATTGGGGGGTGAGGGCAACGACCCGGGCACATTAAACCGATGCCACTGACAGAGGATAATCCATATGGGGCAGCTTGAGGATTTCTGTCCTGGCCAGGTTCATTTGGACATTACACGGAAAAGGTCCAGGAGGGCAGAGAGGCAGCTGTAACTAGGGGTGCGGAGCGCAGGGAGATGTGAGAGGTGAGAACTAACCACATTGAACATGCCAACTCGCTATGCTACATCTGGCCAAGCAAACATGGAGGCTGGGAGAGGCACTGGGGTGGGTCCATCTTCCGCAGGAGCCCGTCTGATGAATCAATGTGGCAGCTACCAAGGGAGAAGTCAAGGGCCACCATCTTCAGCAACCAGAGTCCAGGTAAACGCCGCTTCGAGAGTCAGGCGCGTGGAAAGGGAGGCGAAGGATGGGCAGAGAGCACAGCCACACGCACCACCTATCTGCTCTGGAGCGCTGGCTACACAGCTGAAGCCTAGATGGAAATTTACCATCACACCTCGATTTGCAACCCAAGTAGGGGTAACGTGAATGAAGTCGATGAGGCGTAACAGGCACGTAACATGGCAACTGACGAAGCTACACACACATCTGGCCGAGCAGCTGCAGAACCCGACCCAAGTCCCTGGGTAGCTTACAGAGCCTGCAATGAACCCAGCCTGTGGGACACATTACACATCACCTACAGGCAATGGCAAACACGTCTGTCCTGCTGAGATACAAGGGGGTTAAGAAGGAATTTGATCAGTGGAAGGTAAAAAGGACGCGCCCGCTAGAAGGGGCCATGGGAATGTTCCACCAGGAGCTAGTCAGCCAACGTTCAGAGCCATCAACTCCTCCAGCCAGGAATGGACAAGTGGGAGACTGTCCTGTCTCTCTCCTCTTTGGCTGTGGGCCCAATCCAGTCCCCCCACGAGCCAGTGGCAAGCCTGACATCCATGGGCATGAGATCAGGCCCTCTGACACTCGTGGCAACCTAAGAGGGCAGCAACAAGCTGGGCATGCTCTGATCATGACTTATGATTAACAAGGACCAGGATCCTAATCTGCTGCCGTCTCCAGAGTTCCAGGTGCTCAGCCCCATACGAGAGGGGAGGAGGAAGTTTTCAATCTGCCCTTGAAATAAAAAGATGAAACAGGGAGCAGGGGAAATGCATAAACTGGGCCGTTCAACAGAAAAATCATCATTTATCTAAAAAGAACTGAAATAAACAAAATGCTTTTAAACAAAATCACAAAATATACACATAAATCAGGTACAAAATAAATAGGAGAGATTGGAAATCTACAACACAATTGGAATAATTATCACATTCATTCATATGACAACTGGTTTATGAAACGTATACACTTCGTTTGTTGTTTTTCATTTGTGCTTATTCAGGTTTATGTACACAATTTGTAGTCATACTGTAGTCAGAATACTACATCTTGGATAAAAACCGGAGAAATGTACAATATGATACAATTAGCAAAGACCACGTAGGATGGACAATAAGACAGTGAAAAGGCCCAAGGATAGCAGCATTATCTAACGACAATTGTGTGGTTTTAGAGAGCTGTGAACATACATTTTAAAGGGGAAAAAGGGAAAGTGTTAGGAACAGAAGTTGACGGGAATGTGCAGACTTCACGACGTAGCCAGACAATGTGCACAGAGAAGGGGACTGGCTTGGTTTTAGGGATCAGGAACAGTAGCAGCTGTTGCAGAGCTGACTGTGACAGAGGAGCATGTTCGCCAGTGGTTTGGCTACCAGATGAAATGGATTTGGCAGAGACACATCGCCTTGGATCTCAAGCAGTGTTAAGAACAAACAAAAGCTTTGCAGCTCACTCCTGAGAGCCCCGCCTACTAGCACAAACCCTGCTAGTCTAGACTATCAGCCCAGGCAAGCAGGTGATTCCCATGAGCTCCAAAACGGGGAGCAGATGTACTGGTAGTGCCAGAGGAGCAGGTCCTGAGATATTTCCATCATCCAAACGCCATGTGCAACAAAGCAAAGTGCCAGCAGGTCTTGAGTGCTGTCCCCTCCCTCTTTGATAGCTACAGTTGTGGGAGAGAATCAGACCAGTACAGTCAGTTACTGCCTACTGCCTTCTAAGAATATCTTATCGCCTCTCTATACATCCATGGGATGCCCACCTCTTGAAGACTGTGTACAGACATGGTCGCCTCCTCTCAAAAGAGAGATATCAGCATTGGGAAAGGTTCAGAAAAGGGCAACACAAATGATGAGGGTTTGGAACGGCTGCCATACGAAGAGAGATTAAAAAAACTAGGATTTTTTTAGGTTAGAAAAGAGAAGACTAAGGGAGGATACAATAAGAGGTCTATACAATCATGACTGGTGTAGAGAAAATGAATAAGGAAAAGTTATTTACTTGTTCCCATAACATAAGAACTAGAGGACATCAAATGAAATTAACAGGTAGCAGTTTTAAAACAAAGGGCAGTTTTTCTTCACACAGCCAACCTGCGGAACTCCTTGCCAGAGGATGCTGTGAAGACCAGGACTTCAACAGGGTTCAAAAGAGCTAGATAAGATTCATGGAGGGTAGGTCCATCAATGGCCATTAGTTGTGATGGGTAGGAATGGTGTCCCTAGCCTCAGTTTGTCAGGGACTGGGAATGGGCAACAGGGGAGGGATCACTGGATGATTCCCTGTTCTGTTCATGTCTTATGGGGCATCTGGCATTGGCCACTGTGGGCAGACAGGACACTGGGCTAGACGGACCTTTGGTCTGACCCAGTGTGGCCGTTCTGATGCTCTCCTTTCCCCAAACTCAACCAAAGCAGTGTGAGAATGCTGCTTCCATGTACCAAGAGGCCATTACTCAGAACAGAATGCTTTACCTAAGTGAAAATCCACCAGTGGAAACCTCTCAGCCCACCCATGGGGCATGGGACCTAACAAGTAAGAACTGTGTTGCAGAGTCCCTACCTGCCATGTGTCTGTGGCCTTTGTGAACACGTGCTCACAAAGCTAATTGAGACACTTGAGATCTGCAGCACAGAAGAAATCGTATTTTTGCTCCAGTGCTACTAACCAACCCGACTCCACTTGCTATGTCCAAACACTGCCTCACCAAGGAGGGAGACCAGCGCCTCCTAGTGACCCCTTGAGCATCACAGCTGTTTGCAATCTCAGACGTCATTCACTTAGACTCCTACGGCTAGGACTTTCCATTCCTAGGGTCTATAAAATGTCAGCCATCTCTCTGCAACAGACAGGCTCTCTCTTTAGAGAGGAGGGAAAGGACTGACTCAACTTCAAGCTCTTGGTTAAACAGAATTAGATTTTGTTAATTGCATTTTCACAGCAACCGGGGAGGCATTTTAGTCCGCAGGGCTACAGCCGCCAGCCCTGCTCCAATGTACAATCTCAGGCGAAATCACATAATGATAGGCTGGTGGGAGGGATAAGAAGGAGAATCAGAAGACCCAAGAATCTCATCTCAACGTTCGGAGACATTAGAATGGAATCAGACTGGAGGGACGCAAACACGACCAATGAGCAGTCTTGGCTTGCAGATGAAGAGGTGACACAAACCAAAGCAAACAGAAGCTGGGCAGTGGCGGCCAACCCTCTAATATACACACTGTCGCTCTGTAAGGGGTCGGGCCCATCCAGCGGGAGACTTTCAAGCAGCAGGTGTAGGACGGAAGGGAGGGGTCCGTGGGACTCTCAGCAATTAGGTGTTCGGCTGATGTCTGATGGGCCTCTCCCTCAGAGCCAGAATCAGTGCTAGCGGCAGGTAAACATCCCAAAGCAAGGGCTGGCTGCATCATTTTAGTTCCATGCCTCCTGCTTTCGCCTCCCCCAGCTCAGGAGGAAAGGAGCAGAGATTACCGGCCTCTCCCCCCCAGGAATGCTCCAGCCACCCCACACTGGAGCAGAAACGCGAGAAACCCACGAAACCCAACCCCCAAATCTGACCTGTGCTATGAAGGAGAGGGCAGTACCAGAGCCAGCAAGCGCCTTGTTGCCCTCACCCAGTAGGGCAATGAAAGGCGGAGAGATTACAGAGCATGATAAGCAGCCTTCTGGAGAGGAGCAGAGCAGTAATTTGGCGGGGGTTGGGGGGTAAATGAGACAACCCTGTGTATTGCTATTAGCCCCTCAATGCTGAGCCTCACTTGCTACATCTGAGCTGCCACCTCATGTCAATGCCACTGGGATACTGCGAGGCACCTCTCCCCAAGACTAACGGCACCGCGGGGAAGCAGTTCCTCGATTCTTTTTTCAGTCCAGGGGCCAAGTGCTTCTTTGGATTCTTCTGAAGCCGCACGATGGACAGCCACATTCACAAGGCCAAAGCGGCATGAGGTACGGCAAGTCCAAGGTCGGCTTCACACAATGCTGTTGAGCAGCCCCCCGTTATGGCGTCAAAGTCTCCAATATACAATTTCTATAGAACACATAATGCCAGCCACACACCTTCCGTATAAAGTCTCAAGTTATACGGTTAACAAAGATACTGTCATGGTAACTCCCCCCCCCCCCCATTTGCTAGTTCTTAGCGAATCCAGACACTGGATAACAAATTCACTGGTACGTAGGTCCTAGTTTTAAACCAGGGGTTTGTGTAGTCACTATCCTAGAACACAGGGTACGTAGATCGCATGGGAACTAGTCTCTCTCAGCACAAGGCAGATGCACTTCCCAGAGGTCCTGGAGAACTTGGTCATCCCCTCCCAGCACGTGATACTTACCTGGGATGCAGGTGAGGAGACAATGCAACCATCTTCCTCCCTCCCCCATGCTGCCATCTAACCCCTCCACCCCCAGCCTGGTGGCTGAGATCAAGTGATGCGCTATTGCAACCAAAGGGCACTAACCCCAGCCTGGTGGCTGAGATCAAGTGAAGCACTATTGCAACCAAAGGGCACTGCTCCACTTTCCTTTGAGCTGTTTTCAAACAGAGCACAGCTCCCTGCAACACCCGCGCCAAGGCCGAACCCCCGCCTGCTCAAGCACTTGGCCCCCGAGGGGTTCGGAGCAGCAATGGGGAGATCTTTGTGGGTTCTCCTGGGAGCCATTCACCTTTTCCCTTCCCACCATGCCTTCTCCCCAGGAAAGGTGAATGCCAAGGGGATAGTCCTAGGAAGAGGAGTCTGGAGGAGGTGTGTGTGTGTGTGTGTGTGTGTAGGGGGGGGGAATCTGGAGCCAGGTTACACTTGGATTGCTACATATACGGAAACAATACTGGGCCCCACACAGCCCTAAGCAGTCCTTGGGGAAAGGCTTCTCGCCATGCAGGGATGTTGGGCTGCAGACAAGTGGCAAGGAAAATGACGCGGGCCCTGCAAACTCTCCCGTGAGCAGGGTCTGCAGACGGGAGCAGTGATTCGCTCAGTCCACCTCCCACTCAGAGTTCACGTGCTGCACCCGATCTCCACAGCCCCAGAGTCCGTCTTGTTTGGAGAGAGATTCTCACGCGAAAGCAAGAACATCCCTTAGCTCTTGACAGAGATTTGGCAACACACAGAATGTAAAGTCATGATTACATCAGAGTCAGGTTCCTTTCAGTCCAACAGGAATGTCAAAGTTAATTCACAGATGTGCATTTACGGCATTAGTGTGGAAGCCTCCTTTCAGAGACCTCTTGTGCAAAAACTCCAACAGGAATGTCAAAGTTAATTCACGGCATTAGTGTGGAAGCCTCCCTTCAGAGACCTCTTGTGCAAAAATGGTGTCAACACCAGCAACCGAGGGGACATGCCCTCCTGCCTCCCCCAGTCCACCAACAAACTGGCTGAATTCTGCCCCTCGGGCTGCGCTTTGACGCTGGTGGAAGGAGGAAACAAGCCAGGCCACAGGAGTCAAGGCTGAAAGATGCTGGATCCTTTCTACAATCAAAGCCTTGCAAAGGATCAAGGACTGAAGTCAAGTCCAATGGCTCCCGAAGTCCAGCGAAGTCAAGTTCAATGGTGCCTTGATTTAGGACAGTGACTGATGGACAGCTCTGTCCTGGGTTGTAGCTTTGAGCACCCCTGAATTTGGAGAGCCAAGCAGAGACTCCCACGGCTCTCCCTCTGCCCTGGGGGAAGCTAATGGCACAGGAGCAGCTCTTGAAGCCTGTCGATCCCACTGCAAATATGGGTCCAAGACTTGTAACTAGATCTTGAGTGGGGTGCGTCTTCCCTCTGCTTGCCAAGGGGCCTGCCACATGGGATGCCCATCTCAGCTGTGCCCCCTTCACACTGCAGCAGTAAAAGCCCATCTCCTAGAGCAGAGAGGGTTTTCCACAGGGACGGGCAGGAGGCCTTGTTCCTGAAGCCAATTCAGGGGCGCTCCTGTCCCCGCCCCCCAAGGCTGCCCATTTGCCAAAGTCACACTGTGACCAACTAGCTTTATGAAAGTGACTTCACCTTCTCTCACCACACTGGGAAGGCTGATGGGAAATGACGTAAGGACAGCTTGGAGAGACGGGAATCCGCCCGCAGACAGACAGGAGTTACTCGCCTTCGGGAGAACGTGGCTTCTGCGGTTTGTGTTAGAGGGGAACAAAGCTTTTCAAAAACGCCACAAAAGAGCATGAAAGCCAGAAATCCCATCACCACCCTACAGAGACCCCTCAGTGCGATTCCTGCCCTCCCTCAGCGGGTCTGACAGGAAGCACACTGCAGCCCCGGGGTACCACGGAATGCAGCGCTTTCAGCAATGGGGCAGTCGGTAACGTCAGGTGCAATGGCAGTTTCAATAAAAGGGCCGGAGCAAGGAAACAGCTCCCTCCTCTCCAGGGGCTGGCGTCGTAACGTTTCCTCCCTCCGCTCCGGCAGAAAAGGTGCAATGTCAGCAGCCCTCCTGGAGCCAGCTACAGGGAGACTCCTGGGGCCAGTGGAGCAGGCGCTGGACAGAACCTGTGCTGCCAGCTCTGTCCAAGGCACGAGTGGCCGACAGGTGGGACAGAAAATGCCGACAGAGGCAACAGGCACAACATTTAAAAGGAAGAAGCAGCAGCATTTTTTAAAAATACAAGGCTAAAAAGTGCAGGAGTTTCAAGGCTGAATTTCCCAGTCTCATGGTCCCACATGCTAATACCAGGCATGGAACTGCCATGCTCTCCAGAAGGGAACTTGTGCCTTCTGGGGGAGGGCCAGGGACTGCCTTTCCTCGGCCCATCTCTCCTGGAGGGGCACAGAAGGCCCTTCTCAGAGGATGCTTCCCAAGGCCTGAGGAAAATGGGACAAACCCCGGACACCCTGGCTTCCCGCAAGGAGCTGCTGCCGTGAAACACTGCACCTGCTCAGAATGTGTTTAAGCGACTAACACTTGTCTCAACCACAGAGAAGGTGCTTCCGCCCTCGGCTAAGGGAAGAGGGAGGCAGCGCTGACACCACAGATTCTGGAAGGGGGCTTTGCTTTTAAACTCAGCCAGACAGAGCTTATCGGAGAGTAAAGGAAAGAAAATGGTTACGTAACAATCACGCCCGGGTGCTCTTTGAGCAGCACAGACTGAAATTCAACAGAGAAGCCACTAGGCAGCATTTGTTCAGATATTAATACTGCTGTCACGTGTTCTTTAAGACACCGCTAAAGAGGGGGAGAGGTTTGTTTGGGTGGGGGAGCCTTGGTTCTTCAAAGATCCAGCTCTAGGGTAAAGTACGCCACAGATGCTGCATTTTGGGGGTTACAATATACAACACGGTGAAGTCCCAGTGACGGCATTTTCCCTCCATGCTGAGGCCACGCTCCGGGATGTCTGTGATGGACAGGTGGAGTGCAGTCCTGGAGGACGCTACCATGGACAGATGGAGGAACAGTGGACAAAAGGGAAGGAAATACAGCAGCTCCTAGAAAAGTGGAGAATTGCCTGGAGACTAACTTCTCCAATCCCTGAAGTGCAATACGCTCCCTCAAACTCCCTGCACAAAACACGGATCTACCTCGTAGTGGAAGTTCTTCGTCAGTCTTTGAGGAGACCAGCAAGGTCCTGACTCCACCAGGAAATCCATCTTGCAATGGCAAAAGTTTCAGATCCTTCTGGAGGATTTGCTTTGGGCATTGCTGTAGCAGCATCTTTTATCTTACCACGAACAACAATTTTGGGACAATGGTTTGTCCTAAATTCTCTCCCAGTTATTATTTAACATGCACTGCGAATATGCTTTGGTTACAGTATGTTAGCATCTGAGGTTTGACATTTTGGGCTTCACATTTTCAGTACAGCAGGGAAGGCAGGGAACTTGACCATGTGATTCCCAGTAACATTAATGCAAATCCCAGGGGAACAAAGATTGCCCAGTATACAATTAGAGAAATTTATCCCGGTGTGTAATTTGATGAGACTGCAGTTTTGTCAATTAAAAACCCATCTTCGTATTCAAAACACACAACATCTGTGGAGGTTAAAAACTGTAAATGTAACAATTTTTTTGTTTGTTTTACAAGGAACCATCTGAAATATCAGTTATTATGAACGCATGCAGCCAAAACAACCACCCCTTCCCTGAAGGTCATTTGGGGAGAAAATAATGCCCATTCCCCCAAACTTCCATCCCGCTAAGCTACAAGTTCCTTAACGGCTCATCCATTCTTTGTTCTCAGGACACAAATACATATGGGTACCAGTTGCTGTTTTAACAATAGGGCAACGGACAGGACCAAAAGGAGGGATGGAAACAGGTCTATGACACTGGAGCTGATTCACAAAGTCACAACAGAGCCTATTTGGGGGAGGGAAGAGACAGCAACAATTTAAAACTCTGCAAAATTCTTTTTAAAAACATGATCTTGAAAAAATAATCAGAGCAGTTTGAAAAACTTCTCTGCGCACGTCTAGGAAGGAGGGAAAACCAATGAAGATCAAAGATACGGCTGAAAAAATAAACACGATTCTACTTTGCGAGGAAGAATTCCATCGTTCTCCCAGGGGCACTCACCAAGCCCACGGTTTGTTTGGTTTTTTGCTTTCTGTGTTCTCATTTCTTCCAATTTCTTCCTCTTTTGCTCCCAAGAAGGGCGCTAAGTCTTTGGTCTCAGAACACTGGATGCAGCACGGCATTGCAAGCACATACTAAGAGCGTTTGCAGTCAAGAAGAGCAAAGACTGGGCCTAAGTGATGGGAAGAAAAGGGATGCAGATTGTTAGCTCCTAGATGGAGCCTTCACTGAGCATACTGTGATTGGACTTGTTGTGTGTCACGCAGTTCTGTTCATTCAGCAGGTTCGCCGTCTCATCCGGCAAACCGTCATGCAGTTCCGTAAGAGTCAGTTCGATTTTAGTGTTTTCACTGTCCGAGGACTGTGGTGTCTTGTCCATCCGGGATGCCATCAGGGCATTTTGGTACTGTTGTCTTGAGATCTATTTCATGCACACAAGAGGGATGGGGGTGGGGAACACATGCACACACACAAAAAGACACAATAACACTTTGGTTTCTATCTGGTGTCCTATAGGACACACTATGAACACAAACTCTCTCCTCTTGCCAAGTTCTCCTTTTAATCCTGATTTTCATGGGATCATCCCAATAAACCTACCAGGATAACACAGAACCCTGACTTAGTATCACAAAGTGGTGACAATTCAATGTGACAACACAGTGATGATGTGGTTCCATCCTGTCTCAGTGTTGTGATGCATGGATTGGTCTCACTGGATATACCCTTAAAAGGCTCCAAAGGACTTCCAGTTACTCCTAGCTAAAAGCCATTGATGTTGTGATGCAAATGTTTAAGACCTCATCCAAAGCCCATTGAAGTCCACGGGAGTCTTTTCCGTGACTATAATGAGTTTGGGATCAGATTCTTAGAGCCCTCTGTATGAAGTGAATCAAACACGTGTTACAATTCAGTTGCAGTTCAGCAATTCATGGCCTCACATGCAGCATGGGCCAAATCCAGAAGTCCTGGGATCTATATAGGGCCAACATCAAATTAGCGATCTGAAATGTATCTGAAGTTAGCCAGGTTTCTAGGAAGCTAACTGGAACTTCGGTTTGTTACACTGGAGTCAGCATGTAGGTTAAATTAAATTAATGGAGATTCCTAGAACTGGAAGGGACCTTGAAAGGTCATCGAGTCCAGTCCCCTGCCTACACAGCAGGACCAAGTACCACCCCTGACGAATTTTTGCCCCAAATGGCCTCCACAAGGATTAAACTCACAACCCTGGGTTTAGCAGGCCAATGCTCAAACCACTGAGCTATCCCTCCAGTACCTTGCTACCCTACCTGATGCTCCAGAGGAAATCAAACCCACTACGCTCATACGATCCCTGACAGTAGTGCCATGCTATACAAGGGGAAGTAGGGAACACCCTCCTGAAAACAGCAAGCAATCCCCTTGCACTGCACTGGATTCACCTTCCCAGTTACATCAGCATGCTGCTGTCTGCAATGACGTCCGTGTATGGATAACTCCAAGTTCTGAGCAGCAACAACGGATTGACAAGGGGGTTGGGAACGTGGAGGTGGGAAAGGAGTTTTGCTTCTTACTAGGGTTGTAGCTCACAGACCAATGTCAAGGCATGGCCCTCGATACAAAAGAATCTCTAAAACGAGACTCTAACACTGAGCACTCAGTTCACCCTGGCCAGTATTCAACCCTTACTGATGTAAACCTGTAAGACTCACTGCATCAGGTGTTTGGGGCATGGGTCTATGGGAAAACAACATCATTAGTAAATCTTATTTCCAGTAGATCTGGGATCATAACCCACATCTCCACCATTACAAAGATTTGTTTTATTCACTCCCTCCAAGAGTTTTCAAACTCTGATTAACTTACTCTAAGATAAAGCACTGTTCAAGCTATGTCTTACAAAGAAAAGTGAAGTGTAAGTAAATGGCTTTGTATAAAGGAAGCACCATGATCATTCCGGAACAATGGGACACCAGCTTCCCTAATTTAAAGTGGAACTGCAGTTGGGTTTGAATTTCCAGTTCCACCACACTGATCTGCTCGTCCCGCAGGATCGATGAATGTTTTGGCACCGGGCCTGCTTATCGTGATGGGATGCAGAGAGCAGAAGAACAGAGCAATATGCACGTGCCCAGTGGCGCTTAGTGCGAGAGGTGGGCCTGACATGGGAAGTCCGGATACAGGGACGAAGTCAAGACTTGGCCAAAGTTGAGGAAGGGAGACAAGCTGGGGGAGAGTTTGCATCCCAAATGACATTCTGGGCCAATTTTTGGTTATAAATTAATTAATTGCAGCCATCACAAAATTGTTCTCTCTTAGAAGAAGGACCCTGTTAACTAATGAGACCTGATTCAGATTGCTCAAAAAGCTTTACAAAACATCGCAGCAAGAGACAGGCTTTCAAGACTAACTCCAATGGAAAAGATATTTTATATAAAGCTTCCTCTGAAGTGCTGATAACCAGAAAATGAAGTGACCAGTCCAATTGCACTATCCAAACAGCAGTGGAAGAAAATCAACAAACGGCAGAAACAGGGGAAACACACAGTTTAAATGATTGCTGCTTTCATAATTCTAGTTCAGTGGTCCCCAACCTTTTGGGGCTGCCGGGCGCCCGGGGGCGGGGCCGCACATGCAGCATGTGCCCGGGGTGCAAGAATGGCTTGGGCCAGCCCTGGTCACTCGGTAGGCGCACACAAATGCCATGGTGCCCGCGGGCACTACGTTGGGGACCACTGTTCTAGTTGCTCTGTGCCAATCTGTTATGGCCTGGAGTTACAATCTCCCTCCCCCTACCTCTCAGCTCTGCAAGGTAGCGCAGTTTTTCTGAGAGGGAAGCCCTGTTCTCTCTTTTCCTACCTTGACAAATTGAATATCTGAGAGTGCTTTCACTGAGTAGTCTGGGACGTACACCTGAAGGAAAGATGCATTCAGCTGGTTGTTGCTGCTCCCCAATGTTGGTGTCACTGCTTCGATACGATCACCTCGATTCAGAGAGTCTGAATGATTCAAGCCACAGGGACGGGGGGGTGACTTGTTTTCACCTGAAGAATGGGAAAGAAGAGAGGAGAACTTTTCAACCAATTTGGAAGTGTTTAATTCTAAGTTCTCGGAGACATTTGTTAACCAAGGATATAGCATAGAAGATGCTTGACAACTTACGTTCTCAAGCTCAACCTGGCTTGTTATGAAGCTCTCACTGAGTAGCTAGTGCACCCAAGTTACAGATCTCACTCTCAGACATCACGGTGAAAGCCTCTTTGCACTGACTTAGCAACCAGCAGAACAGCATCTCGACACCCAGAGCCTTTCCACAAAGCAGCTTTGATCTTACAAGGTTTCACCGTGCGCTTAGCATTGCCTCCTTCACTTAATCACACAGCTCTTAATGCCCTTATGGCGAGCAGACACAGATCAGCCTTGTGGGCTGCACAGCTCACTCCCTGCATCAGCCGCATGGAGACGCAAACCATGCCTGCCATCCCTGCAGTTACCAATTGCTTTTAAAATCCGGCGGCTATTTTACGTCTTATTTCAAAACAGCAAGGAGGAAAATTCTGAGCAATGGGCAATTTTGTGCTGCAACTTCCATCAGCAGGGTAATCAGTATAACCTCTAGAGGCAAGGAGACAGATTTCTGTCAGCCCTCCATGCAGATGCCTCTCAGCATCTTTCTTCACAGAAAGCAGTCTGACCATACGCTGTCATTCGGCCAACAGACTAACTCAGTCCATCTCTGCTTTCCCACACTGATGCACAACATGCATATCTGTGTGGCAAGATGAGCAGCTCGCTAGTGTTTGGGAGAAAGTTTTTTTGCTTGAAGTAGCTTCAGTACCTGTGTGAATCTGACCTGAAATCCTTGTTCACCAAGGATATGGACGATATTTGAAATATATGGCAGGAAAAAGGAGTGGGA